GGACGCGGCCTCAGCATGGCTGGAGGAGTGGTGCCTCGGTGCGCACCCGGGATCTGAACCCGGGCCACCGGCAGCGGAGCGCACGCACTTAACCACTAAGCCACGGGGCCGGCCCTGATTCTTTCTTATAGTTTTTGATTCTCTGTTGAAATTTCTCATCTTTGTGTCTATCTTTTCCTCTATTTTCTTTCACGTTAGTAATAGTTATTTTAAAGTCCTTGTCTGCTAATTCCAACACCTGAATCATCTGTGGGTCTGTCTCCTTTTCTGGCTTTTTCTTCTGATTATTGATCACACATTCCTGCTTTTCCAGATGTCTCATAATTTTTATTGTATGACAAATATCATGAATAAAAATAACATAGAGAATGATGCTTATGTTATTTCCACTCCAGAGAGGATTTTCCTTTCTTTGTCCAATCAGGGATTGAGGTAGGTCAAGGCTGGGTTGCAGTTTTAATTAAACTCAACCTACCTCTGGTTTCAAATGTCATGAAGGGAGAACTAGATGGATTCTGGTTGGGGCTCTTTCTCCCTCATTCTGTAAACTGTGGGAGATTTATTCTGTCCTTCAGCCTTCTACCCCATGCCATGTCCAAATTTAGCAAATGTCTTGATGGGGAGACTGGCCGTGTGTTTGAGACAGTCCCTCTTTCTGAAGCAAGGCTTTGTCTCTGAAATACTCTAATACTGTAGGAGATTTCAGTCTGACTTGTAGAAGCTCCTTAACTTCCCATGCCGTCCCTAGATCAACAAATATACCATAAGGAAAACAGCACCCCATATTTAGGAATCTTAAGGTTTCCAAATTGTGGCACCAGCCCCACCCATCCTCCAGAAGCTGTGATTTTTTTTTCCCCAGCATAATATCCCTCAATTCAGGGCGACCTTGAGCCTAAGCTTGCTCACAGGATTGGATATGTTTCCAAAGAGGCAGCTGTCATAGTCTTGTCACCTCAGCATGGCTCATCCTTCTCTGATTTAGTTTTCTTAGTCCTCTTTGCTTTCCCAGATACATGATGTTGGTAAAAATAAGATTTTTGCAAATTATATAGTGTATTTTTATTTTTTTGCAGCAGGAGCAATAGAGCAATGACCTGTTGCTTCCTACTCCATCCTATTCTGAATGAGAAATTTTTGTGTCCCAGGGTTTTTTTGATGTTTTGAATTCTTCAGTATATTCCTAGAGAGTATTGTTACGTGTGATTGGTATCATTTATACAAAGCAAACCCAACAAAAATATAAGATCGTTGCTTTTTTGTAGAAAACACCTGTTTTGTACAATGGCATAGGTTAACGTTAAAGCTGATTCATCCATTTATCAGCTATGCTGTTGAGCACTGATGAGACAGGAACTGTTCTGCACATGACTGGGTATATAATAATGAACAGAAAAAGGAAAAATACCTGCCCTCACAGTGCTTACATTCTGTTTTGAGAAGACAGACAATAAAGCAAATGCTAAGCAGAGTCATCAGCTGAGAATAAGGAAGGTGGAGAACGTATTAGATTTTTAACAAGAAAAAGAGAAGATATGAAATGGTGAGTTTAGAGAAGAGAAGAGTAAACGGACTAGGAAATATTTTAGGATTTTCAGGCATCGCCAAGCTATTTAAGGTTAGTAGATGTAAATTTTAAATGACCGTGTTTTCTCTGGCCACTTCCAGCTACTAGGGTGAAAGCACAAAGTAGGAGGAGAGTAAGATTTAGCCAAGATGGGGCCTTCTAGGCTAAGTACAGTGGAGGAGAGAAGGATAAAGAAATTGAAGGTGTTTTATGGAAAGCAGTTATTGTAGTGATGGACAAATGAATCTAACCTGGGTAAATAAGGAAGAAAAGACTAAAAAGTGTTAGGAACACTGGATTGGCACTCTTGGTGGGAATGAAGAATTACTGAAGTAGTCCGTAAAGTAAGTAAACTGTAAAGATTTTGGAGGCTCTCCAGTTATTAATAATGACAAAGTGTACAGTAGCATTTCTCAGTAGGTGAACTACAGGCTTTTGGGGCAGGGTAATTCTTTGATGTGAGAGACTGTTTCACATTCTGTAAGAGATTGAGCTTTCTTGGTCCCCAGACACTAAATATCTGTAGTAATCTCCTAGCACTGTGTCAATTCCACCCAACCCCCTGCCGCATACACACGTACACATTTCTAAGTTCACATAAGGTGAGAACCACTGGTCTAGGGGATGACCAATCCATTTAGTGGTTGTGCTGGAGAGAAGTCTACCAGCTAGGTCGTTTTGGGCTACAAGTAATAGAATTCTTAAATACTATGGATTTATTATCACTTAAGAAGTCAGACAGTTTTCAGTGCTGGTATCAGTTTTGGCTTCTCTATGATTTTCTTGGCTTTCTCCTCAAGATTCCACAATACTGCCAAAGTTCCAGACTTTATTTCTTCACATATCCAGAGACCAAAAAAAAGGGAAGATTCATTTCTTTTCATGTATCTCTCACTTAATGGGAGATTAAAACCTTTCCAAGAAGTCCCCTAGTGGATTTCTTCTCAAGGTACTATTAGTTCTAACCAGGTCACACATCTAATTCTTAACCAATACTGGCAATGTAGAATGGAATTACTGTGATTGATTTAAACATCCTCAATTTTGGCTGGGCCCACCTTGCCTCTGCACATTGTACCTGATACCTGAATTTGGTTCATAAACAAGAAGAGAGGAATAGCTACTGGGTAAAAACAAAAACAAAAACAAAAACCTAACAGTCTCTGCCATAGGGGATTTGTATGCCTGAGAAGCCAGAGTGTTTGGTGGATTATCTATTTGGATGTTAAAGTCACTAAGAATTATGAAAAAAGATGTAATGAAAAGAAGGGCAGTGAACAATGTGTAAAATTGTTATTCAAAAAGAGAATAAGACAGGAAAGACAGTGGGTAATTACAATAAACAGGTAATGGGCATTTTAGCAGACCTGGGATTTATAGGGAGGACAGAGATGGCAAAGAGGAGGAAGGATACCTACCCCACCTCCATACCCTGCAGTACATGGGGCGGACGGGGAAAAATAGCTCCTGCTAATGTCCATTGGGTATTTTTATATCTCCCCATTTTCAACTCCCAACTTAGATGTCTTTTAAATAAACAAACAGACGCTGTTCTTTTAAAAATAGTAAATACAAAAAACACCATTTTTAGCATGTTTTGAATCCAAAGAAAAAGAAATGTGTAAGAAATACTTATTGGATGCAGAAGATCATGATTAGATGCACAATATGGTATATCTTACACCTTTAATTCAAATTAACAAATATTTATTGACCACCGTGCATACGAAGATCATGATGCTATTTTCTGTATAGGTGGTGAAGATGAATTAGAATATCTCCATCCTCTGAAGGTCACAGTCCTTTGGAGTTTAAGTAATATAAATAGTATATTTAAGTAATAATATGTTATATAAGTAATAATATAAGTTATATAAAGCAATATATAAACCATATAAGTAATTTAATGCAATCAGTAATGATTTGTACTAACAAAAAATTATGGTGAGGGAAAGACTCACTATTTGGGAACCCTCCATAAGATAGTGGAATAACTATTTTAGGACAAGGGTGGTTTCACTTCTGGCATAACATGGTTTTAAAGTTTTCTTTTTTTCCATAAATTTTGATGATACCTAGGAATAAGCCTCAATAGAGTTAATGTTTCTTTTATACCTTGCATCTTCTGATTAGAACCACAAGATAAATTAATAATCTCTATTTTAACTAAATTGATGAGCCAAAGTCATCCATAGGTGGACCTCAACTTCCATGCACAAAGTTTGGAAGGCCACTCCTTCTGCATTAGTATATATTAGCACCTCTAGACCTCCCTTCATACACCACACTCAGTTTGTCATACATTGTCTGACGTAGGATGTTGTTGGGTTAACACATGATCATAGTCCCTGCTGGGATGAAAGGGGGCTGAATGGTTGACTCACTGATAAAGTGTTTAAAACTAAAAAGCTCACATATTAGAAGATAGATTCGTTCCTACATGTATTATAATTTTAAAGACATATGCAATGAAGTTTTGTGATTTAATTTTAATGTGTTTACATGCCTTTTTTCAATGGGTAATTAGAATTATATCTGGTGATCAGTATTTGGGTGATCAGTAGAATTATATAAGGATTTCTCTAGAAAGAAATATATTGCTATTAGTTTAAAAAATTTATAAAGTATGGCCATATGTCTCATTCTTTCTTTTATTGTTTTTTTTAGAGTCAACACAGACTGTCCAAGCTCTGCAGTATTCAACTGCTGATGGTCCACTAACAGCAAGCAAAGATTTAGAAATAAAAAACTTAAAAGAAGAAATTGAAAAACTAAGGAAACAAGTAAGAGGTAAATTTCTGTGATTCACTATTAATTCAGTTTAGTAGATTTTTAAAAAATTGTTTTATTCCCACACAAAAACATTTATTGTGTACCTGTCATGTGTTAAGTGATGTGAGCTATGTGCCAGGGAGTGAAAAGCAAGTAAGAATGGTTTCTGCTCTCAAGGAGCTCACACTTTGATCTAGGAAAAAGATAAACAAATAGTTTTTGCAATGCACGTGAAAAGACTGTAAGAAAAATAAACATAGGTACATGGAGAGAATGTAGGAGGAGCACGTACCCAGATTTAAGTTAACAAAGATGACTTTTTTGGAAGGCTTATTAGTTGGGGATATTTAGTTGGAATTTGTTTGGCAAAGCGTATATGAGTAGGGGAAAGAGTGTTAGGAGAGAGGAAGAAGGACAGTGTAGACAAGGGAATTACATGTATACAGACATCAAGGTATGTGAAAATTTATTTTCTTTGTAACAATTCATTTTTCAGTGCATTGCTGAGATTAATTAGAATTAATTTTGACAACTGTTGATATGCCTATTGTATCCATTCTTTCATTTATTCCATTCATTCAGTGAATATTTATTGAGAACTGACTATGTACCAGGTGTTGTTTTAGGCTCTTGGTATGCAGGGCTAAACAAAATGACAAAAGTCCTTGTCTTTGCTAGGATGGAGGGCAAACAAGACACATAAAACAACAACTATATAACTTTCTAAATAATGCACTGTGTTACACAGTAATAAAACAGAATAAGGAGAATGGGTCAGAAGTGCAAGATGGGGAGTTTTATGGTTTTAAGTAGGGTGGTCCAGATGTCAGCCTCATTGAGAAGGTGACACATGAGCAAAGACTTGAAGAAGGTAACGGGCTTAGCCATATAGTTACATGGGAAACACATGTTCCAAGCAGGAGGACCAGCCAGCACAAAGGCCCTAACGTCAAAGTGTGCCGTGTGAGTTCAAATAAAACACAGAGATGGCATGGCTGGAGCAGAGTGAGCAAGCGGGGAGAATGGAAGGAGATGAGGTTAGAGAGGGAGAGGGATGGAGGGGGCTGTTGCCTGATCAGTAGAGTCTTACTCTTTGAAGGTGTTTGGTTTTTTCTGTGAGTGAAATGTGAACTTTTTATGGAGTTGAGAGGCATTACATGATCTAAGTATAGGGGTAGAGAAGAGGAGAAGGTACTATTTTAGCTAGGATGGTCAAGCCTCTCCAGAAATGCAGTTTTAGGCCAAAATAAGGAAAAGGAGGAAAAAAAGATCTGATACCAGGTCTTTTATGAAAAGGATTTTTTAAAATGCCTTATTAATACTTTGCTTATATAAATATACATGGAGATTTTAAATTTGAGCATAATTTATGCTGTTCTATTTTTTTAAGTGGCTCTCTTCCTAAGAAATATCTATTGTCAAATTTCTGTAGCTTTATCTTTCTACAAATAAGTTAGATTGCGCATAGGGTAAGCAGAATCATTTACTTTGCTTTCATATCAACAATAAAACATCATCAGTGGCACTGAATGTGTTCGAGTTCTCTGACACTAAAAAAGCAGTAAAACACAAGACCAGCGAGGATGGGCAGTAATTTGTCTTCCAAGAGGTCATGTGGATTTGGAAAACTTATTCCTGAGACTATCTCACTTAGGAATTCTGGGAGGAGTTTTTAAATATAGATTGCTTGGGATTTTCTGTGGTGGCCGTCATGCATCTGCTAATAGGAAGAGTTTCATTTCAGCCTTTCTGATCTGTGTGCTTTACGTCCTTGTCTTCTCTGACTGCTCTGGCTGGAACTTGCAGCACTCTGCTGAAGAAGAGTGGTGAGATGGACATCCTGGCTTTGTTCCCAATCTCAGGGGGAAAGCGTTCCGTCGCTCACCATTAAGTGTAATATTAGCTGTAGCTTTGTTATAGATGCTCTTTATCTAGTTAGAAATTCCCCTCTATTCCTATATTTCTAAGGTGGTTTTTTTTTTATCATGAATGGGTTTTGAATTTTGTCAAATATTTTTTTCTGTATTGACTAATGTGAACATATGATTTTTTTTTCTTTAATAGCTTGTTAGTATGGTGGATTAGACTGGTTGATTTTGAAATATTGAACCAGCCTTACATCCCTGGAATATGTACATCCCTGGTCATGGTGTATAATTATTTCTATATATTACTGAATTCTATTCTATATACATGAGGGACATTAGTCTTTGGTTTTCTTTTTTCTTTTGTACTCCCTTTGTTTTTTTTTTTAATTGAGCATAATTGACATGTAACATTAATAGTTTCAGGTGTGCAACATAATGATTTGATATTTGCATACCTAATCTGTGAAATGATCACAGTAAGCCTAGTTAACACCCATCACCACACATAGTACAGTTTTTTTTCTTGTGATAACAGCTTTTAAGAGCTACTTTTTTAACCACTTTCAGACATACAATTCAGTATTATTAACTGTAGTCACCATGCTGTACATTACATCCCCAGGACATATTTATTGTATAACTGAAAGTTTGTAGCTTTTGACCACCATTCCCCCTCTTTAACCTACCTTGGACCCCTCGCCTTTTTCAACCACCAATCTGTTCTCTATATCTATGAGTTTAGGTTTTTTTTTTTAGATTCCACATCTAAGTGAGATCACATGGTATTTATTTTTCTCTGACTTATTTTACTTAGCATAATGTGCTCAAGGTCCATTTATATTGTCACAAATGGCAAGATTTCCTTTATTTTTATGGCTGAATAATATTCAATTGTATATATACCCCACATTTTCTTTATCCGTTCATCCCTTGATGGACACTTAGGTTGTTTGCATGTCTTGGCCGTTGTAGATAATGCTACAGTGAACATGAGAGTGCAGATATCTTTTCAAGTTAGTATTTTTGTTTCTTTCGGGTAAATACCCAGAAGTGGAATTGCTGGATCATATGGTAGTTCTATTTTTAATTTTTTGAGGAACCTCCATACTGTTTTCCATAGTGGCTGCACCACTTTACATTCCCACCAGCAGTGCACAAGGGTTCTTTTTCTCCACATCCAACACTTGTTATTTCTTGTCTTTTGGATGACAGCAGGTGTCATTCTATTCTATTCTAACAGGTGTGAGGTGATGCCTCATTGTGGTTTTGATTTGCATTTCCCTGATAATTAATGATGTTGAACACCTTTTCATGTACCGTTCATGTTGGCCATCTGTATGTCTGCTTTGGAAAAATGTTTATTCACATCCTCTGCTCATTTTTTAATCGGATTGTTTGTTTTTTCCACCATTGAGTTTTATGAGTTCTTTATATATTTTTTACATTAACCCCTTATGAGATATATGATCTGCAAATATTTTCTCTGATTCCTGGGTTGCCTTTTTATTTTGTTGATGATTTCTTTTGCTGTCCAGAAGCTTTTCAGTTTGATGAAGTCCCATTTTTTTTATTTTTGCTTTTGGTGTCCCTTGTGTGGCTGTGGTATCAGTGTAATGCTGGCCTTGTAAAATGAGTTTGGAAGTATTCCCTTCTCTTGCATTTTTTGGAAGAGTTTAAGAAGGATTGGTATTAATTCTTTTTTTTAAATATTTGCTAGAATTCACCAGTAAAGCCATCAGGTCCAAGGCTTTTCTTTGTTGGGAGGTTTGAGTACTGATTCAGTATCCTTACTCGTTATTGATCTGTTCAGATTTTTCTATTTCTTCATGATTCAGTCTTGATTGTTGTATGTTTCTAGAAATTTGTCCATTTCTTCTAGGTTATCCAATTTGCTGGCATATAATTGTTCATAGTAGTCTCTTATGATCTTTGTATTTCTATGGTGTCAGTTGTAATGTCTCCTCTTTAATTTCTAATTTTATTTATATGAATCTTCTCTCTTTTTTTGTAGCCTGGCTAAAAGTTTGTCAATTTTAATTATCCTTTTGAAGAATCAGCTCTTAGTTTCAGTGATCCTTTCTGTTGTTTTTCTGGTCTCTAGTTCATTTATTTCTGTACTGATCTTTGTTAATTCCCTCCTTCTGCTACCTTTGGGCTTAGTTTGTTCTTTTTCCAGTTGCTCGAGGTGTAACGTTAGGTGTTTGAGATCTTTCTTTTTTTTTTTAATGTAGGCGTTTATCACCATGAACTTCCTTCTTAGAACTGCTTTTGCTGTATTCCATAAGTTTTGGTATATTGTGTTTCCATTTTTATTTGTTTCAAGATATTTTTTGATTTCTCTTTTAATTTCTTATTGACCCATTGGTTGTTCAGGAGTGCTTTGTTTAATTTCCAGATTTTTGTGAATTTTCCGGTTTCCTCTTTTAGTGTCATACCTTTGTGGTTGGAAAAGATCCTTAGTATGATTTCAGTCTTACTAAATTTGTTAAGGTTTGTTTTGTAACCTAACTTTTGATGTATCCTGGAGAACATTTCAGGTGTGTTTGAGAAGAATGTATATTCTGCTGTTGGATGGAATGTTCTGTATACGGCTGTTAGATTAATTTGGTCTAAAGCATAGTTCACAGCAAATATTTCCTTATCAATTTTCTGTCTAGATGATGTATCTATTGTTGAAAGTAGGGTATTGAAGTCCCCTACTATTATTGTTTTGTTGTCTGTTTCTCCCTTCATATCTGTTGTATTTGCTTGATATATTTAGATGCTACAATGTTGGGTGCATATGTATTAACAGTTGTTATATCCTCTTGATGAATTGACCCCTTTATTATTATATAATAACCTTTTTGTTTCTTGTTACTATTTTGGGCTTAATGTCTACTTTGTCTAATATAAGTATAGCTACCCTTGTTCTCTTTTGGTTTCCACTTTTTCTTTCCCTTCATTTTGAGCCTATATGTCCTTAAGGCTGAAGTAAGTCTTGTAGGCAGCTTGTAGTTGGGTCTTGTTTTTTAATCCATCCAGTCACTCTAGGTCTTTTTATTGGAGAATTTAATCCATTTATATTTAAAGTAATTATTGATAGATAAGGATTTACTAATCTCATCTTATTGTTCTTCTGGCTGTTTTGTAGTTCTTTTGTTTTTTCTT